AAAAAAAAAGAGACTTACGCTTTCTCTTTCTCTAACGAATGTATAAACGTTCCGTCTTCCTTATCGTGGGTTACGGAGTAAAAGGTCAAATTCGATTAATCCCTTGGTTGCAAGGGTGTAATGGAATAATTACCGTTCTCCTCGAGAGGGGCGAATTTGTCGCGACAGAGCAGAACCAGTGGCAGCCAACAACGAGCGTAGAACGCGCCGGCCGAGATCAGCAAAACCAGCACTAGAACGCCCACCAAGAACGATCTTCTCCAGGATCCGTTTTGCAGTCCCAGCGCGAATTGTGGCTCTGCGAATGGAAACGGTTCGTTGGAGATAAAAGCGAATCGCGATATCGGAGGGAGAAAAGGATTGGAATGAGGGAGTAAATACAACAAAGTTAGTTTTGGCAGGATAAAAGGTAAAGCGTAAACGCGAGCGCCGTACGAATTTCGGTTAATTGGACGGGATTAATTGGGCTACATCGTAGGCCGGTAACGAGCGGCGAATTAAATCGATCGAAATCGTTACGAGACATCGTTTCCACTATGGATCGAGTCGTTAATTAGTGGTAAACTAGCGGGTACGCGGTCGTTTCTTTCTCAATTTTTCGCCAACGATACGCACGCGTTGCGTTTCTCGTAATCCTCGCCGGATGGAATTTACCTTGTCGATAAACGTGAGCGGGTAACGTGATCTCCTCGTCTACTCCGTTGCTAACTTCGCATTTGTACTCCCCGTAATCTTCCAGAGTGATGTCCTCGATCTCCAAGTAAGAGCCGATGATCTGATTGTTTTCCCTGAAAAAAAAAAATAATCATCGTCTATGTTCTGACTGAAAACATGATAAAAGCCAGAAAATGGCGGACCTCGTAGGTTTCGTGCAATCTCGGTAATTAAATACGGCGAAAATGATTTCTTCATCTTTCGAGGAATCGAACGCACGTAAATCTGACCTCGTGCCCGAGAACGCGATTACGCCACTCGCTCGTATCCAACGGAAAAAGAAGCTGACCTCATCTATCGCGATCATTTTCCTTTCCATATTTCACACCTGCGCTCTCGGCCGACCAATTTTCTAATTTCGGTCGACACAGCACGCGCGATCCAAACACGCATTCCTAAGCACTGCATATACGTATGTACACGCGTATACGTGAAGCATGTTGTACGAAGGCGAGTCTCTTTGTTTCGACCGAGACGGCCATAAATCAGTCGATGCGAGGGGCACGTTCGTTCGGTCAAGTTCTTTGGTCGCGATCGTGCGTTATTAAGCTTATAGAGTCATCAGTTGTCCACGGACAGTTTGACGTTTTAACCTCGTGTCGAGTGCTAATCGATCGATCCCATCTCAACGCTTTTTTTTCTTGGAAATCATAGCAATCGTGAGGCAACGCGTCTTTATCTTTGTTATCTTCGGCACACCTACCGAATGAATAGTTTAAAAGTCGAATTCGAGCAATTATGTGCATCCATGACTATTCGCGTAACGAAATTTGTGTAAAAAAAAAAAATATACCATCAGTTGTAACCGGTGTAAAAAGTTGCAAACGTTGAAAACCGATGATTCGTTTGCAACTGATGCGAAGCGGAACAACGTCGAATCGCGATGAAAATTCAATTCACCATCGTTTATATATATATATATATATTTTTTTTTTTCGTTTGTAGTTCCATTATCCTCGAATCGATTTCACGAATAACGAAGCGAATCCCGTTAAAAACTTTGCACGTCACTTTTTTTTCCTTTTAAATCTTTTCGTTTTCCGCCACGATTTATTTCCCGATTCAATCGAATTCGTAAAAGCAGACTGGATAATTCGACGGCTATTCAACTTTTTTTTTTTTTCCTCGCCTTTTGCCCGTCGACCGCATCGAAAAGTTTTCGAGAGTCACGCGCAACGTGAATTTTAAATCCACCAACTTTCTCGGGATCTAGCATCGACTGGCATCGGACTTCCTCGTTCGCGATTCAATCGGGCAAGTTTTAATTAAAACTCGCCAAAAATTCCAAACAATCGGGAAACGCCATTCATTACAGAAAACGACGCGCAACGCGAAAGCAAATTTCGATGTTCCCCCCTTTCGAATTTCATTTTCTTCGCCACTTTGCACACAGTTCCCACTTCGCACACAGATCCTACTTCACGTATATGCGTGGGTTCGGGATACGTGTTAGAGGTTAGGTGCGTCGTCGACTCGTCGAAACGCTTAATAAATTTCCGTTGCGTTGAAACAAATATTAGTATTGGTCAAACATTCGAAGCGGTACAAGAATCTTGCTGCGAGTTCTCGGTGAAAAGTCCTTCTCTGGTTCGTAGAAATATCGTTCCCTGGTCAATCACGATCACGTACGCGTTTCGAATTAATCGCGATCGAATCGAATTTACGAAATTCTTTCTTCGTAACATATTTTAAAGAAATATGAAAATACAAGTACAATACGTATATTTTGTCGATAAGTTAGACTGCGATCGAAAAAATTGGATCAGCGCCATCTCGCGTTTGGATCGCCGAAGCTCCGACTCGTTACTAGCATAGCAGAATGTGCAAGGAGGTATTCGACAGACAAGGAGAGCAATACCGTGCGAAAAGGACGAAGAAAGCGTGCCACTATTTTTAGTTATGCAACTCCTAATATTTTCTAACGTAATTGACGCAACGTTGAAAATTAATTTATCGCTCGTTCGTTAATAAAAATTTCTGCACTTTTATACTCGCATTTTAAAACTGGAACCTCAGACAAGTTTCTCGTGTAAATTTTAACGCGATATTCTTTCCGATTAATTATTTATTAATGATTAACGCGTCGTATATGGATCGACATTACCGACATTCAATCCGTTTTTTGCTAATTTTTCATTATTATAAGATTAATTTCTAAATATAAATGCATTTGAAACATTATATCCTCATCTATTTTCATGTATAAATTTCATGTATAATTTCTTTGTTGTTCCAACGAATAAATCGATCGATTCTTACTCGATTACAGAAATGGAGACTCGCAATTGAAACATTCGCTTAATAAATAATTTATTAAAAAGAATTTCACGTTAAAATTTATACGAGAAACTTGTTTAAACTCTTATTTTTAAAACGCGAATTTAAAAGTACAGAAATTTTTAATAATAAACGAATAATTATTAATTTTCAATATTTGAATATATATATATATAAGTAAAAATAATAATACGCTTCCTCCATCTTTCTTTTACATATTGATTCATATAGATTTTATACACGGATTTTTTTTCAATTTTCTCGTTATCATGGAGCCTATTTCTAAATATAAATGCATGAATCTAAAATATTACATCTTCCTTTACATTTACGTGTAAATTTTATTTATAATTTTGTTGTTATTTGAACGAATAAATTGATTATTTGTTACAAATTTACGATTGAAACGATTCTTCGTAACAATCGTTTATATAAATAATTAATATAAATAATTAAAAGAATATCACGTTAAAATTTACACGAGAAACTTGTGTGACGTTTTAGTTTTAAAACGCGAGTATAAAGGTGCAGAAGTTTTTATCGATAAACGAGCGATTAATTAATTTTCGACGTTGCGTCCATTATATTATAACATATCAGGAGTTACATAACCAAAAATAGTGGCACGCTTTCTCCGTCCTTTTCGCACGGTATTATTCTCCTTGTCTGTCGAATACCTCCTTGCACATTCTGCTACGCTAGTAACGAGTCGAAGCTTCGGTGATCCAAACGCGAGATGGCGTTGATCAAAATTTTTTTGATCGCCATCTAACTTATCGACAAAATATATACGTATTTACTACGTACGTTCTCATACGCATCTACGTGTATAAAAAGATACGCGTTTCGTAAGAATTAAATAAGACTGATTTTCCTTTCTTTCGCCAAACGAAAAACAAAACGTTTAAATTTGAAAAACAAGAGGAGAATATTATTTAAAATTAACTTTACAACTGAACGAATAATCAAATAGATTGAAAATCGCGCGTTCGAGATCAATCGACAGGAATGAAGATTGATGGGTCTCTAACGGCGATTCATAGAACGGCATTCTCGTCAATTGGAATAGTTTAAATCGACTTAACGGCTCGGAATTTATAGAGTGTTCGAAGAAACGCGCGTTATGTTCGATCCTCTCTTTACCAATATCCCTGGCCGGCTATCATCGCGCGGTCGACAATCCTGTTTAATCAAGGGAAACCGATAAACTCGATATTCACCGTCATCCACCGCTCGAGTTTTAATTAAAACTCCTCCCCGATCTTCTTTCTCTCCGCGTTCGTTCGATTCAAACGA